CTAATTTTCTCCCGAAAATCAAATTTGTTACAAAATAAAGTATTGTTGTCTCTGTGCTACTAAGAGATAGTGGAACTGATTAACACACAAAAAAAAAAAGAGAAAAAAAACATGCGCTCCCGTGATGAGCTTTCCCGCTATCAAGGAATTCAACTTTTTTTTTTTTAGCTCCTAATTTGTGATTGCAATGTTACCATTTTACAATACTATTCATTAACATAATCATTGACCATAATTAATCATGAATCATGGACATAATCATGTACTGTATTTCACACTTGTATGCAAAATCCATGCTAGCATAGTTTTAGCCTGGGTTCACATATATGCAGTACGGTATATCGCATGTGATTCACACAGGATCCGCCCCGCATTCCTGCGCAAATTCCATGTGATTTATGTGCTGTTTGATTGGAGCCATACATTTTGTATGGCTCTAATTGTACCACACCCGCACTAAAAAGGTGCAGGACCCTTTTTTGGGTATGCACTGGAATTGGATCGCATGGGTATGCACACCAATGCGATCCGATTCTGAACATCGCATTTGCGGACCACTTTCATGGTGTTGTTAATTTATCATATACACCCGCAGCGGTTCACATGAAAGGGGTGCGATTCTGATGCGGCGTGGAATTTGCACAGAAAACGCTGTGAATACCGCACCAGGGCTTAAAGAGGCAATTGGTCCAGTGCACAGGATTTGTGCATTGGAAGATTTTTCTAAATGTTTTAATACATGTATGGTTTTACAATGTGCTATTTTTAGTTAGTATGACTTTTGATGCATGGTAATGTATTTAATTTGTTTGCACATTAATTCATATTCCACTCTAAAACTTTTAGGTCATATTGTATTGAACTTGGATTTGCACATTAACATAGTTACATAGTTTGTCTGGTTGAAAAAAGACAAAAGTCCATCCAGTTCAACCATAAAAAAAAAAAAAATTATAATCCTATACCTACAGTTGGATCCAGAGGAAGGCAAAAACCCCAGCAAAACATGATCCAATTTGCTCCTGCTAGGACAAAAAATCCTTCCTGATCCCCGAGAGGCAATCGGATATTCCCTGAATCAACTTTACCTATAAATGTTAATGCATTTCATTTAATTCGATTGCAATTGGGCTGCACTGTTTCAAGGAGTAATTTGTTACAAAACACAGATTTCTACTAAAAAAGCTATGACTGAAACGCAATGAACTATTCTTACTACTGCTGTACAAGTAATTAAAGAAAGCATATACGGTATAAAAGACTTTCAGTTAGTTGTAACATCTCAATTTGTGAAGCAAGTTTTTAACGGGTTTATAATGCTCAGTTAGAAACGTTATTATCGACCAAGCTTTCTACTTAATGCAATGAATTCTTTCCTACAGGATAGAACTAGAGATTTTGTTAAAAAGAAAAAAAAAATTAAAGAGGATCTGATCAACTTTAATATATATATATCTGTCAAAATCTTGCTGTCAGAAGCGATAGTCTGCTAAAGGACGTCTTTGATCCTGAGAAAACATTGGAATCATGTAAGTTGTATTACTGCTGAGCTGTTAAGACTACAGAAGCTCCGGGTTAAAAGTCTGCAGTTCTACACTCCTATTTCTGATCGCTGAACGGAAGCAAACATGATAGACTAAGCAAACAGACTTCCTGTGAAATTAGGAAACCTCAATTCCCACCACAGTCCTTTACAGCAGTTAAAAGTGGCTCCTTGGAAGTGCTGATAAGAAATCATATTCAGCTCTAAAGTGATTTTGTCTGTAATTCTGACCAAACGTGAAATGAGCTTAAGATCAGTATCCAGCTATGCTCAAATAATATCCAAATCACAAGCTTCCAAAGCTGCTGCCCTTTGACTACTATCATGGTGTTCTTCAATGCAACTATGTATTCACAATTAATGCATTATTTTATAGATACCTTAAAAATAAAAGAACGTGTACGGAAATTCAGCAGGGTCCAGGTACAAGTTCAAAAGAGCCTTTCTTCTTTTGCAAAACCATGAATCCCCTTCAGACCTTCAAACAAAATATTCAGAACAGTTCTGCCTGATCCACCCAGTTACTAGGGGCAGGAAGCATGTAGAGGTTAACATAGTGGTGGTCAACCTTTTGGTATGGGGGCCTCAAGTGTGGCCCCTGACACCACCAAAAGGCCATGCATTAAACTCTGTGAATATTCCAAGTTAGAGACAGCAGACACAAAAGGATATAGTCAAAGACTATGGGCATTATTAATATTATACAGGATTTATATAGCACCAACAGTGTGCTCAGCGCATTACAATATAACAGGAGACAATACAGCAACAATACAGTTCAATACAAGAGGGTTAGGAGGGCCCTGGTCCTTGGAGCTTACAATCTAAGAGGGCATGGTATAAGAGATGGTCAGAGACTGGTGCAGGGGACATTCAGAGACTGTGTACCTGCAATAGGAGTTGTTGGATATTGGGGATATGCTTCAGGACATAATGCGACTGAAGACACATTACACGAGGCTGCAAGAGATCATTGCTATAACAGGGCAATAGAGAAACACAGATTAGTGTCTTCATGCACCGCAAGAGCTGTACAAAAAGGGCCAAAAGGGCCATATGAGGCCCCTGGGCCACAGGCTGGGCACCGGGGGGGGGGGGGGTTAAAAGGTCCCTTCTGAACGATGGAAACTGACTGCTGGAAAATGCCGGGAAAACGCTTTGCATGCATTTTTTTATGATGAAAAAAAAGGACTCTGGACAGCATGTGGAAAATGGAAGAGTTAAAAAAAATTTTCAAACGATTATTATAATGCGGTTAGCCGCGTTTACAGGTGTTTTGCGTTTTGAAACGCTGATAAAATCTACTCCTGATTTAACGCAAGTTTTCTTTGCGTTCAAAAAAACGGACTGTAAACTCAACTGCCTTGTAAACGACATAGTGTACACTGGACACATAGGAAAACATAGGGGAGAGTTCAGGGGCTTCTGCTGAAAAAAAAAAACTGATGAACAGCTCCTGAACGTGAGTTTATCATCTGCAGTTATACATGAGACCCTAAGACTCCATGCACATTGGGCGGTTTTGACGGCTGGTAACATTAGCTTTGTAAAGTCAAGTTAAAATGACGTGAGTTTTTCAGCATTTTTTAGCATGTTTGTATTAGTGTTTAGCACCGTTTTGTCACTTTTGTTTTTTTTCAAAAAATTTTTTTTTTTGTGGGGGTTTTTTTTACCAATAAAATACTTTTTTTTTTTATCAAAAAATACTTTTTTTGATAAAAAAAAAGTCCAAAAAACGCTTGATTTACCCCGATTTATTTACTTACATTTTACCATGTTTTTCAGTATTAGAGTGTTTTTACAGCTAAAAAAACTCCTCTAAAAAACCCACTAGTTCTGGAGGGTTTTTTTTCAGCCAAAAAACGTCCCAGCCAAAATAACGGTGATTACAGGTCTATGTGGTGACCATGGGACAACATAGGATAACATTGCTGGGTGGGTTTACTTTAGCTGTAGAAATAAAAACATCAAAGCCAAAAAACAGTAGCTGTAAAAACATCCATTGTGCATGAGGACTTTTTGCAAAAAAAAAAAAACAGTTCTGCTTGCAAATAAATAGCAAATAAAAATAAATAGCAAAGAAAATAGCTGAAATCTGTGACCTTTTACTTTCCAAAACACAAACACTTGAGTGTAATAAGGAGCCTTACTGACTAGTTCTCTATCTTCCAGTCCTAAATTCTCCTCAAATTCCATCAGACAGATCAGGCCATGTACAAAACACCCTTAGGCCCACATCACACAGGCAGTAATGTAAAGAGCACATTATACTGCAGGTATTTACAAAGCAATTCATACCTTTTGGAGTGGCTTTTAAAGCCCTTAAAGCACCCTTTATTTTATTTCTGGAAGAGTTAAATACACAAAATCCGAATTATAGGAGTGTCGGTTTCAGGCTCCATGCACACTGGAGGGTGTTGTTTTGATAACTATGGTAACGTTTTTAGCGGTGTGTAAAGTCACGTTAAAAAAAGTGAGGTTTTCAGCTTTTTTTTTAGCGTTTTTGCATTCGTGTGTTTAGTGGTGTTTTGCCGCAATTGTGTTTTTTTTTTTTTACCAAAACAAAAATAAATTTTTTTTGGGTAAAAAAAAACATCCAAAAAAAAAACGCCGGTTTGCAGTGTTTTGCTGTGTTTTTCAGCATTAGTGTGGTTTTTTACAGCTAAAAACCTCCTCTAGAAAACCCACTAGTCCTGGGAGTTGTTTTTCCAGCCAAAAAAACATTCATTTACAGTCTATGTGTGCATGGACACATAGGATAACACGACTGGGGGGGTTTACTGGATGTAGAAAAAAACGTCAAAAGCCCAAAAACAGCAGCTGTAAAAAACGCATTCAGTGTGCATGAGGACTTAGCTTTAAACAATCCAGCTGAAGCTTGTTTAAAGCTACAGCCAACATTAGGATCTTTCATTCAATACTCCCTGACAGAAGCTTTAGTGGCCCATTCAACATATAAGCGGATTGGATGTGGTTTGAAACCACATCCAATGTGCAAAGACATGTGAAAAGAACATTGCTTCTATGGTGCCCTGTTCACATATGTCTGGTGCACTGGCAGTGCAAGTTAAAAAAAAAAAAAAAAAAAGAGTCCTATACGATTTTTGAGCAGTGCGGTCCAGTTTCAGTTGCAGATCACAGGCCATTGACTTTTCTATAGGAAACCGTTTCATAAACCTGACAGGTGTGAAAAGGATAAAATCCTGACCTGAACCTGATCTAAACCTGACGTTGAACCGGTGAACAGCTACTGTGTCAATTAGCTGTGTAAAACCCAAGCTTCATTCAGCACCGCATGTGTGAATCAGCACTTAAAGGGGTCAAAACACTTGTAAAATTCTTGGCTACTGTATGTGGTACACTAGAGGCCTACTTCACACCAAAGCAGTGTGTTATTATTATTATTATTATGCAGGATTTATATAGCCCCAACCAGGGGGCAGGACTGACAACTCATGGGGCCTCCGGGCAATAGGGGATAATGGGGCCCCTGTGTCCTTGGCCAAATCAAAAAGCCTATGAAAAAAGGTACCAGGGGCATCTCATGGGGCCCCCTACAGACCCCGGGCCCCTCGGGCAGTGCCCGAGTTTCCAAATGGTCAATCCCCCCCTGGCGCCAACAGTCTTGCTCAGTGCTTTACAATATAAAGGAGACAATACGGCAACAATACAGTTCAATACAAGAGAGATATTAGGGCCCTGCTCCTTGGAGCTTACAACCTAAGAGGTATATATCTATATATTATTATTATACAGGATTTATATAGCGCCAACAGTTTGCTCTAGCACTTTACAATATAACAGGAGACAATACAGCAAACAATACAGTTCAATACAAGAGGAATAGGAGGGCCCTGCTCCTTGGAGCTTACAATCTAAGATGGGTATATATCTTATATTATTATTATTATACAGGATTTATATAGCGCCAACAGTTTGCCTCAGCACTTTACAATATAACAGGAGACAATACAGCAACATTACAGTTCAATACATGAGGGATAGGAGGGCCCTGCTCCTTGGAGCTTACAATATTAAGAGAGTATATATATCTATATATTATTATTATACAGGATTTATATAGCACCAAACAGTTTGCTCAGCACTTTACAATATAAAGGGAGACAATTACAGCAACAATACAGTTCAATACAAGAGAGATAGGAGGGCCCTGCTCCTTGGAGCTTACAATCTAAGAGGTTGATGTGTGATGGGTGAAAATAAAACCTGCTTCACTTAAATGCATTTACAGCATGTTGCAGCACAAAATTATGAAACAAAATAAAGAAAAAAAAAAAAAATCACACGCATCAATGCACATCAAACTCAAGTGCATTTAAAGAGTGCTTAAAAACGCAACACGTGGGTGTGAATTCTAGACTAGCAACCTGCACAGGACAGAATGACGCAGGCTGACATCGTTGCCCCCCCCTTTTGTCTATTTCAATACTTTGAGTCAAATGACCAGGAAAAATGTATTAATCAATAAATCTAGAAAACTTGTTCTGGGTCAGCAGCTCAGGAAATTCTGAAGCACTGATTAGCACGAGCACCAGACTCAAACAGCATTTTTCCAAGAGCAAATGTCAGCGCTGGCAGCCTGTGCACTTCCCTCGGCATAGGTTTTCTTCAAAACAGAAATTTACAAAGATCAACATTGCCCGTAGGGCTATTTCCAGATACGAAAAGCAAGCTTGAAATAATCCTTCACTTGTGCACCACACAACGAGCATTAATTGCAGTGCTACTAATTCATTCTTATAATGGCTAAACGCAGGCAATTTTTCCTAATAAAGGTTAGCCACAAAATTCTAATGCGGGGCGGCTGCAATTATCGCTGGTAACAGTTCTATGTTACCAATGCAGCAGTGATCGCACTCCAGGCATGAAATCACCCAGCAATGCAATGTTACTTCAGGCCCATACAGAAAACCGAACCCAGAAAAAAAAAATGTGGGCATGTGCTATGTAAAATAAATTTAATGTTGGGTGTTCCTTCCAATGGGTGGGTGCTGCTGCATTTCGGTTTAAAGATCTTCATTTATTAACCCGTACACAAACACCTAACTTTCAGTGCTGAAAACTTTACCCATCATCACTATACTGAAGCAGGAAAACTTTATTCACCTTGCCCATTCACCAAACCCCCCCATTCTTTCCCAAATGCCTTGAATTTGTTAACCACTTCAATACCGGGCACTTATACCCCTTTCTGCCCAGGCCGATTTTCAGCTTTCAGCGCTGTCGCACTTTGAATGACAATTGCGCGGTCATGCAACACTGTACCCATATGAAATTTGTATCTTTTTTCAACACAAATAGAGCTTTCTTTTTGGTGGGATTTAATCACCACTGAGCTTTTTATTTTTTGCTAAATAAAACAAAAAACACCTGAAGCTTTTGAAAAAAAAAAAAAAAAAAAAAAACACACTTTTCTTCGTTTCTGTTATAAAAATTTTGCACATAAATAACTTTTGTTCATAAATTTAGGTCAAAATGTATTCGGCTACATTTCTTTGGTGAAATAATGATAATAATTTAATTTGTATTTTTTTTATGTTTCTATTTTTTTATTAAATTTTTTCACCATTTTATTTTCAGCACACTGTGACCAAATCAATATAATGCTACCATAGTTTTTAGAAACATCGAACTACTCTGGGCAAGTGATCAGGACTTTTTTAAACACATTATGATTGTTAACACCAATGTATTTCATTGATATTTGCAATCATTGTTACTGAATGACACTGATTCATTCAGTCTTTTGTTGTGATTAGCAGTGATTGGGCAAATCTGATAACATGATACAGATGGGCTGTGATTGGCCTGTCTATATCTTCATGTGACTTCCTTGACCAGTCACAGCTAACAACATTAATTGTATACAATGGGTGGCATGACAGGAAGCCATCCATTGTATACAATTGACATGCGATCTACTGTGATTGGTCACAGCGCTCACATGACACTGGCAACGGGCCAGTGTAGTTTGATATGTCATCAGCAGTGTCCAATGGCAGATCGCACCGCTGCATGGCCCGCGGCCGCAGTGAGCGGCTTGTTTTGACAGGATGTCATATGACGCCCAGTCACAGCGGCAAATGTCCCGCCCCCGACTGTCAATCTCGGACCAAAGTAGTGGAGAAACTTTTTTTTTAAGTCGCACATATTTGAACGGCTGTCATTAGAAAACATAGGATTATGACATGTCATGCGACTATAGTATCCAAAGTTGCATGACAAGTTGCACAAGCGTGAATGGAGCCTTAAAGTAAATGTAAACCCTCCCCTTGTAAAACAATCCATTAAGTTAAAGGCAGAAACAAAAAGCAAAACATTTATGTATAAATATAAAAAAAACATTATAAATACTTTTTCCCCCCTTTTTTATAAGCAATCACATATCCTCTTGCTCTCAGATGCATAAGGAGCAAGGGAGGAGAAGGAGCAGCGTACGGATCTTCCCAGTGAATGGCTGTGCAGGGGAAGTGGGGTGTAAGCACAAGTTTGATCATTGGAGGAGAGCAGATTGAGTTTCCAGCACAGCCAGAAATCTGACCACGCTGCTCTCATACCTAGTGTGGTCTGTTTTTTATGGGAAAGCAGAGGGACTGGCAGGCACACCAGGGATTTCACACAACGGAAGCAATACAAAGAGAACAACAGGAGGCTTTTTCATACAAGTACATTGTACAGTAGGCACACATCAGGAATATCAAATTTTGGGCGGACATAATCTTTAACTAGGGGTTCGGATCCCTACATAGTGAAGGCTCCAGCGTACCTAGTCTGTACCTTTAGGCCCCATTCACATCTTGGGATTTCAGACAGAACCACTGAGATTCTAAAAAATGTTTAAAAATCAAAAACAAATGGTACCCAAACGCTGCATTTTGCCATCATTGCAGTGTGATTTGGGCAGGATTGCAATTTTCCTTGATCTTGTCCAGACAGGGACATTCCGGGTTTTACACTTTTGGTAACAGCTCTGTCTCTTCTCACCTCAAAGACTTCAAGCCCAAATTGGTTTATTAGGAAACTGGTGAAAATACCAACTGTCACAGTTTCTTTGTCCCATATCCCGGGATAGTGAACTATTCAGAGACCTCTACCCGCCACAGGCATACTCTTTCTTTAGCAATTTCTACCATGCAAGAGGCAGACGCGAGTTTACCCTCATCTTATATAGCAACATGGGAAAAGGCATGGATCATACATTCACAAAAGCTCAGACAGACCCAGGGGCAGACTGACAACTCATGGGGCCCCCGGGCAATAGGGGATCATAGGGCCTCTGTGTCCTTGCCCAAACTCAAAAAAGCCTATGAAAAAGGTACCAGGGGCATCTCATGGGGCCCCCTACTGACCCCGGGCTCTCGGGCAGTGCCCGAGTTTCCAAATGGTCAGTCCGCCCCTGGACAGACCGTATTCTTACTCTAGCACTCAAGGCTTCCATTTCTAATAAAATCCAGAAAACGGGTTATAAGCTGCTTATCATGTGATACAGGACTCCAGACACTGCATAAATGCTGGCTTTGTTTGCACATATTCTGGGACTGCCTGATCCTTGATCCATTTTTGGTCTACTGTCCAATCAATATATATTACAAATTAACAGAGGTAACCTTCAATGTCCACATGGCTTTCTTCTTGCTTCATCTTAATTATCTTTCTATTGAAAAAACAGTACAAGAACTCACTTTTACAGCACTTGGTAAATATGGCCAGAGCATGCATTCCAGTAGTTCTCACGCATCGATGACCTTATGGGGATGGAGGAACTGTTTGCTTCTTTGTATCTTAGTTAGAAAAAAAGTGTATAAAACCTGATTTTATTGGTGAGAAATCTGCATTAAATCGGACTAAAGTTCTCATCTTCTACAGGGCATCGGCAAGAGTGGAGCTATTCCTGTTTCTTCGTCTTCTGTTAAAGCTTGGATTTGTTAACACCCATGATCTTGTGTTCTGGTCCACCCCTACTGCAGACTATGTGGGCCTCTAGTCCCTTTTCTCCCCCCAATTTTCCCTTCCTTCTCTTTTTTCCCACCACACTTTACTATGCCGTCTGCCCCGTTATTTCATTGTTTCATCAAGTTTAACATGTACTATATAAAATGAGGACCCTCCATTACCGATCTTCTTTCTGCCTTCACCGGGATACCAGGCAAGTCCGGAAACTTGTTCATATACCTTGCTCCTTAAGGCTTTTACATGAAGGTTACCATTTATCTAATTGTTCTCTCAAGAATGGCAGCTTGAAGGACTTTGTGTATTATCCTCAGACTTCAATGCTTTACACCTTGTCTGATTCATGGTCATGTGTTGACCTGTTGTATATTTTTTTTCTCATTGACTCTGCACCTGAGAGTTTCCTTTGCAATAAAAAGTATAATATAAAGAAAATACAAATATTTTGCAAATGAAAGAAGTAGAGGAGAAAGTGACCCACTATCATCACTGCACTAGAACTGGTAATGTAAGTGTCAGCGCTCAAAAAATTACCCAATACAGCAGCATTAGAGGTACCTTATTTTAACAAACGGAAATGTCTAAAAATTGTTTTTTAAACAATTAAACAAAAAGTAATTTAAAAATAGTTTTTCCCCCCCAGAGTTAAGCATTAAAGCTGAACTCCAGGCAAATATGAAATAAAAGCTCCCCATAATCCATTTCTGTATTCATTATCTGAAATCTGCAGCCTACAACTGAGCTAATCAGTACTCAACTGCAAACACAGTATTGTCAATATAATGCTGGGAATTTTAATACAAGTGAGAATACGGGGAAAACCTTATCGTGTGCGGTTTTTCCTTCACTGTCCAATCACAAAGCTGGGAGCAGCGAGATACACCAAAAAAAAACCCTTTGAAAGATCTCAGTTCTATGCCTTTATGCTGTGTTAAACTATATACATACGCATAATATATAGTGTGTGTCTTGGATTTAAAGAGTGGTACCCCGCTCCCCATTAAGGATTGGCACCTTTTGGGAGCGGGTACCCAAAATTGACAGGTACCCGCTCCCACTTCCATTGCGATCGCCTAGGCAATCGGAAGCGGAAGTTGTCCCTCCTACCCTCCCTCGCCGTAGTCTTGTGGGACACGTGACAGGTCCCAGAACATGATGGGGCCATTCAGGAAGTGCAGCGCTGCTCACGCATGCGCAGTGGGCACCCGGCTGTGAAGCCACAAGCTGTCACAGCCGGGTGCCCACACTGAAGATGCCAGCACCTGAAATACAGGACGGCTGGTAAAACAGGCTACGGCAGGGGCACCGCGCACTCGTGGGACAGGTGAGTGGCTGTTTTTAAAGTCAGCAGTTAATTTTTGTAGCTGCTGACTTATTTTTTAACAGAGTGAGTGAAACTACGCTTTAAAGTGTATGTTACCCCAGCATTTAAGATTGTATGAAAAAGTATCCTGTTCTTTTTGCATTACTTTCTTTGTTTGAAATACCTGGTGATCCTGCCATGCCCCCTGCTGTTCTACTACAAACTGATCGCGCCAGGGCATGGAAGCACATCTATCTCAGTGTGGTCAGGTTTTTCCTTTGCATACTACTTGGGAGCTCAGCCTGCCTGTACTCTGGTGGTCAGATTTCTGTTGGCATACACCCCTGCACAACTTTTCACTGGGAAGATCAGTGTACTGCTGTTTCTCTGCCTCCTGCTAACATGCCCCCTTGCAGCCTCTAAGCCCCTTAAAGTGGAACTTCACTCTCACACAATCAACAGACTATTTGTAATCCTTATGCTGCTAGCATTAGTAAATAGATAGGAATGTATATCATATTTACTTGTTTTGATCATTTTTTTTTTGTTTTACGTTTCTTGCCTAGGAAGATGATGTCATATATCCCAGGAGTCTTCTGGAGGGAACTGAGCACAGCCTCCTGCTTGTATGCCTGAACTAAGGGCAGATGAATTCCAGGAAGTCAATGCTACATGAATCATCTGCCCTTACTCAAAATGGCCATGGCAAGAGGAGGTGTTTTTCAAAGGAATTTCTCAGCAAAATAAAGAATGGAGGCATGGGTGGCTGGAGGAGTTTGCCTTGAATATTATTAAAATGAATTAAATAGCATTTTTCTTTGTGATGCTCAGAGGCAGCATAGTTCTGCTTTAAGCAGCAAACAGATTTCATCATCACTTAAGTAAAAAAAATAAATAAATTAAAAAAATAAAAATATCTCTTTTTTTATTTTTTATTTATTTATATACACAAACATTTTGTCTTTCATTTCTATTTTAAGCTGAATGGGTTGTTTAGAAGGTAAGGGTTCACATGTATTTTTATCATACTCTTAGACCAGTTCATCTGCAAACACGTACACTGAATTTTGCTGCACGGATGCATGTTCTTTTTAAGTAAAAATATCCTGCAATTGTTACATTTATATAGTCGTCTACAAATAATTCCTATAGCCAGCTACAGTTTATTTTCACAAGCTTTACAAGACAGACAAAACAGAGGTTGTTGCTTTAAATGACATTTAAGTATGAAGCTTATAGTGACATTTCCAGCAAAGATTTTAGACATCTTGCTCCAGTGCTGGAGGGCAAAAGCACAAGAGTGAGTGGTTTAACAGGGAGAATAACAGGGACAGTTCATTTAGAATTAATTTAAGGCGGCAGCTATGTGTTTAAGTTTCCCTAATTCAGACACAGCAAGAAGTGAGACAAGCTCCGAATTAGGCCAGGACTGTAATAACAGGTCAACATTCTCGCGTACACACTTGACAGGCATAATAATCCCTGTGTTGACAGAATAACCTACAATAAACTATAAAACTAAACATTGGCTTAAAAACGCCTGTCAAAGGAATACTAAAAACCTCCAGTACTTAAAACATGGTAGAAAAGGAAAAGAAGAAAAAAAAAAAAGCATTCAATAAGAATCAGTCTAACACTTCTGATAAAACTCCACAAATACAAAACTGAATTTTTCTAAAATGATATAGGTTTTGATGGATTTGAACTTCACATATGTACGCACTTTTAAATTATTTCTCAGCTTTCTTCGATGTTTTAAGCATGGCAGAGCTGATATTGAAAGCATGCATCATTAATCAATACAACTATGTAAAAAGCAGTACAGCCGAAGAGAATCCAAGGAGCCACAGTAGATTAAAGAAAACATATCCCAGAAGAAACCTGAGCACTATAGATCCTTTAAGAGCATACTTTCTGCTATCTAGAAAATGCAGGGGGGATGGGAAAGAGTATATTTTCATGGATTAATGTGTCTCATCACAAGGTAACTTGTGATGAAATCTGGTAATATATCTGTAAAATGCAAGCAAGTAACTCATCCATCAAGGAAAGAAATGTAAAGAAAAAGAAAAAAAAATGAGGTGGACCATAAACAATAAGATTTAACTATGATCAGTTAAGTAGTATGGGCAGCACAATGGCAAAATGGTTAGCACTTCTGCCTGGCAGTACTAGGGTCGTTGGTTGGAATCCCAACCACGGCACCACCTGCCTGGAGTTTGCATGTTCTCCCTGTGCCTGTGCGGTTTCCTCCCAAACTCCAAAGACATTCTGGTAGGTTAATTGGATCCTGTCTAAATTGGCCCTAGTATGTGTATGTATAAATGTAAGTTAGGGACCTTAGATGGTACGCCCCTTGATGGTTAGGGACTGATGTGGATGTACAATATATACCGTATATGTAAAGCACTGCATAAATTGACGGCGTTATATAAGTACCTGAAATAATTAAAAAATATGGGTAACAAATAGAACCCAAGAAAACCTACAGCCTATTCACACACCGACTCAATATACTGAAAGTGTCAATCCATCCAAAATGAATATTTTAGTTATAGGCAGATCCTTTTAGGTTGTCTAAGGTTTGGTTCACACTAGTGCCATTTTTCGGGCCACGGCATGGTAAGGCACGGTGCAGTACAGCACGGCAGCCCATGCAAAACACAGGGAAAAAGGTCCAGAAATCGCAGCCCACACTGGTAACCACACTACAGTGTGGTTCTCAGTGTGGGTGCGATTTGCAGTGCGGGCAGTTTGCCATTATTATTAATGGCAGTTGCCCACTGGTCCCACTTTTTGTGTGCAGGTGGTTCCAGCTGCAGGATGAAGTATGACTTCCACCCACACTAGTGTGAACCGAGCCTAAGCTCCTGGCTTCATATATGTCTTGCCCAACAGCCAGATTTCAGACTATGCTATTGCCTAGCTCAGAGTTTAGGGGCTGCTGGCTACCTTTGCATGTCCCAGCATGCTGCCTTCTCCGGAATATGGATATATTCTTCTCCACTTTCAACTCCCTATTCTCTCCCCCCCCACCTCCACTGTGAGGTTGTGGAGGGTGCAGAGATGGGAGAAAACGAGGTCCAGGGTATTCCCATTGGTGTGGGTGGAGGACTGTGTGCACTGTGTGAGTGCAAAAGAAGAGG